TTTTCTACCCAATCCAATATTATATTTTCTCCCAAAGGCAAAAAAATAAATGGCCACACAACCTATTAGCCTGGATACATTCTTACATTTTACAAGGCTAATAGCTTGTTCAAGGTGGGTGACTGAAGTGAGCATATGTTCTTTGTTGACTTGAGTAGATTGTATTATAGCTGCAACAACCAGATCACAGACACCATCAATGCCATACTCATCAATATCTATATCCATTACTTGCTGACTCACCACTAGATATATTCAACCAAATATATTCAACTGAAACTATTCAATACACTCATTGAAATATATTCACTGTATTTATTTAATTGGAAAAATGTTCTGTCTCAACTATTGTAGCCACTATGAAACTCATCTGACAGTGCCAATAGTTCAACTGCCTCCAACAATTCCAGCTCCTCACCATCTTCTTCCTCCTCATCCTCCTCATCCTCATCATCATCATCATCATCATCATCATCATCATCATCATCATTTACTGCAATGACAGTTTCTGTGTTACTGTCCTGGTCTGCCACCATTTCCATCATTTCTATCTTTCTGACATGTGCCAGGTCATCTAATGTTGGTCCCCAAGATGAATCCATAGACTTGTGTGGAATGACCAAACGAACTTTATCCTGCCAGAAAGCTGGCTCTTAAATCCAGTTGATAAATGATATTGATATCTTGTTCATTTTCAATGCCTTTTATAACACATTGCCACTCTTCAATAAGCCATTCTTGCATTGCACTGCGTTCATAGGAGAGTCTTCTCAGTTCCTCTTTGCATCGGTCCAACTCCAGCAAAGCTTTGATTCCCTTACGCACATCCTCATTTCCAAGCCACTGTGGAATTGCATTTTCAGATGACAGATCTGTATCATCCAAACCAACATCCTGCCATATGTCATCATCAACATCAAGTTTGAAAAGACCTTCAGTAGCTATTTTATGTGGTGCACGTGCTCCATGGGGACTTTGTTTTGCCTTGATCATCTTTTCTAGTTCACTGCAGAGATTGTTGTATTTCTTTGCAAGCTTTTGAATCCCTGGTTCCTTGCGCTTTATCTGAGACTCTGAATGTTCTTGAAGTTTTTTTAGCTAATAACAGTCAATTAGTATATATTTTATTGTAGTGTAAAACCCATACTTACTATTGGTTGTAGTTTTGCGGTATGCTCTCTCTAAGCTGTCCAACTCAAATTTTCGCTGCTGCAAGCGATTTCTCAGACTTGTGTAAGAGGGCCATTGCAAGCATGGCAGATACGAGTCCTTTTTATATTCAGGAAGCCACAATGCAGCACCACAGCATTCACATTTTTGATTATTTCACCTCGCATTAGCTAGGTCTCCCAGCTTCATATTTCTACTTGTGTAAGAGGGCCATTGCAAGCATGGCAGATACGATC